AAATTAGTTCCTCTTTTAGCGGTTCTTTGTTAACTCCCTCCCTTTGATCTCTTCTAGATCCGCCATTGGGGGAAATATTCATGGTAAAGAAAGCCATGTTTCGTATAAGACGTTGTGTTTCTATTATTAATTAATCGGGTATTTTTATATTTTTCATAATTGTAGTGGAAGGGCCTGAAGTTGTACCCAATAATATCAATAACACTATTATAACACTTTCTATAAAAATTTTCACGATATTGACTTTGATTTTCACGAACATTATTGCTCGAACTTGTCATTTTAATAATTTTCTTCTGGTAGCAATATTTTAAGATCGTATCGTGCAACAATCGATCGTAGAATTGGGACGGAAGAAGTATTTGACCACGATTCTTGACTACGTATCGATATTTGACCTGAAATCGGAGCGAGGCATTTTTCGAATCAATTTTCATAAATTTTCATATTATTTGAATAAATTTTATTTATACGCTACATATATACCACAAACATTACACGAGTACCAGATACGGGGTGTTCGTTCGAAAACTTTAAATCCAAGCACCTCGAAAATAACACAATATTGGCAAAAATGTTACATTAAACAGTTTCTTAGTTTCGAGGGGGAAATATATCCGACTCGTTTATTTTTTATTTCTCGAACGCTTTTAACACTTTAATGGCTGCACGTATCACGCGAAGACCGTTGTCCGTCACCACTGATATTGTAGACCAAAGTGAAATACATGAAGATGCTAGGAATATTATTATAAGGAATTATAAATGTAACCTCCCTTAACAAACGTAATAAGTTGAATGTATGATGAAATGGTGGCTGATACAGTAGATCACGCACACGTGACAGTGGCCAACGTCTACTAGCTCGCAAAGTCATGCATACGTGACAACGGCCGTCAAAGTGTTAAGATTTTAAAAGTAACTTAGAGTTACCAAATTCTAATAAATATCGACCAACGTCGATGGTGTCAATTTTGACGCGCGTGAAAATAAATCCGTGCAAGGATGAAAATTGATTCGTTGGTTGCAAAGGAATCTCGTTGCCCGAAATGGTATTTGGCCAACTCGTCCCGCAATACGTATGGCCCTAATCGTTGATGCGCAATGGTTGTATGCTTACCGGCAGTGAGGCAATAGACGGTGTTAGTCGTTTAGCTCGACTCGATTCGCTACTTGTCCCTCGTCTCTCCTTCACCGCCAGCAAGAATCTCTTTCTGGGTCAGAAAATATACGACGAGCGTCGGTCGATATGACTAACAATAAGTCATCGACTCGATGCCACCTCGGAGAATTCTCCTCGCTCGGGACTGTGGTCGAGGACGACGGAGACGCGAATAAGTGATAATCGATAATCGAACAGTGCGAGTTCGAACGGTTGTTCGTCGCGCGAGAAAACCGCCGAGGATAATCCAGAAATTAATGCGCGCCTCGACCGTGGTCACACACTCGGTTTTAACGGTTCGTTTTATCGCAATTCACTCGTTGCAAATTATGTTTTATGCGCTGGCAGTTTATCTTTAGTGCGATCTCGGGTGGACTTTACGATACCCAATCGCGGAGATTCCGAGCCCTGCTGGGAGAACCGAGCATTTCCCTTTTAATCGTACCTGGCTCTTTCCCGCAACAATCCCCGGGACCGTTTATTTAATTGCTGCGATTGAAAACGAGCGTCTGTTCTTATTTCGCACGATCGAAAAATAGACTTCCTCCAGTATTTTTTTCTCATCTCTTCTTCTTATTTCTTTTTAAATCTTGGAACAGAAAGCGTTGCGTAACTACCTTTTGCATGCAAACGATTCCTTGAAGTTGTATATCCGGCGATTTTCAACGTTTTTTTTTAATTTCGAATTACACCTACAGAGATCAGTTACACACTTATCGGCATTAAGGATCTCATTGCCAGAAATGGACATGATCGTGAATGATTAATAGGTCGATGGGATCAATAACTTCCGTCGCGCGATGATTATCTTTGCCTGTCGAAGTCAACTATTTATGGTAATAGATTTAAATGTATGCTCCCTTTCCTTCCAAAAGCTGTTGGACAATTTTCTGAACAGCTTCGCGCGTTCAGTATTTTAGTGGATAAAATTTAAAAGTGCGGAGGAAAGTACGGACGGGTCAAAATTTAATGAAACATTATGCTTGGAAATACGACGAATACGATGCTTTGTTAGGTCTATTGAGATTAGTATTAGCGAGAATTACTCATACATTCTCGAACCTCGGCAGGACAGAAATAGGCAAGAACGAAGAACCATTTTATTGGAAAAACCGATGATATGATTCATCAGAGAATCAATGCCATTCTGTACTATTAAAGAAATATATTTTATTTAGTCAGGAATATCGACGAGCCAATAATAAATAAATCTTAGTTAAAATAATTACGCTCAAGAATAACTCTGCGCGCAAGGAACGACTTTCGCAGGATTTCAGAGCGACAGGGAGTAAAGTGAAATTTCCAGGTTGTAGATTAGATTATTGTACACGTTTAGAATTTTTGTGTTGGAAATTCAATTTGTAGAGTCGAGAACTAGATAGGCAGATGGTGAAATGCAATGGATTAAGGGATCGTGACTATTATCGCACTGATTTCGAGTTACGCAACATCGATCTCGCGAATAGCGTGGGTCGCTAAGTGAATGATTAAACGTACCATTCTAGGTAATCTGTTGAGCAGAATTATTGCGAATGATTAGTTGCAGCCACGTGCCGAACCTCCGTGATTAGTGGTGAGTTTACTATAGGCAATAATCCTAACATTAGTAGTTAATTTGATATCGTTCGATTGTCTTGATCTCGTTCATCGTTGCCGTGTCGAAAACATTAATGACAATTGCTATTTATTTTAGTTGTTTAATCTCTTACGTAAGAAAAAGCGAAGTAAATTTTGAATTTGATTCGATCGATTGAACTGAGTATGAAACAATAAAACTAAGATCAATACGATCACGCATTTATCATTATATTCACAGTAAACAGACACTTAGTGTCTCGTGATTCACATTATCATAAAGTATAATAATTGTTACTCATAAATTGAAAAATGCATTTAATTTATTGGATAATTAATCGAATGGATAGTTCTCTTTCATTAAAACGAACTTCGATATATCGGGCTTTATCTTCGTCAACTTCAAATGTAAGTCAGGGTCAAGTTGCAACCCTGTTCTATATTCATCTTTAATTCTAAACTTAGCATCATAGGCACTAATTTAGAATATAGTACAATCTTACAGATACGTTGCACGATATAATCGTATTATAGAAAAGATACGTTTCCACTGTTAGAAATTTACGAAATGAAACGGAAATGCTGGATATCCACGCGAAAGATAGAAGCATGATTTTTCTCACACGAATTATGTTACGCAAGGTTTAGGGGAATTCTTTGTGCTGTGAAAATAACGTCTTACATGGAGGTTATCTGTATTGGCATAGAAAGATACACGCAATAAAACTAGTAGGCGAAAAAAAGAAAATCAGTGCTAATATTATACTTTTATCGTTTTATATTTATTATCTCGTACTCGAGTGTAATAAGGAAAAATGAACTTTGACATAGTCGATAATAAAACAGTCGCAGGGTAGCTTGGTAGACAATCGAAAAAGTTTATTTTTAAGGTATAATCCAATATTATCAACTCCATACTCACTGTTTTCAAGAATGTTTCGCGTTGATAGCATAAATGTCTCAGTTTAAATTCTGTTATTTGTGTATTTTTCACAATCCAATTTCGACAGATAAGATGTGGAAGTCGTGGACCTCCTGGGATTAGTATTGCTCGATGTACACCACGCGGTGTCATTATTTCACACGTGTTTGTGATTAGTCTGTCTAGTTCGTTCAATGTGTTGACATTGCAATGTCAATACCCTTGACTTGCCCTTTTAATTGAGGCATATATTCATGTCACGATATTTAAATTCAACATAAATCATTAACAAATAATATTTACAAACTGGGCGGATCAATAACTCAATTTTCATCCAATTTACTTAAAATTTAGTACGGTGGTTCCTAATACTATTCGTCGTGGTGTTAAAAGAAATATTGATTTTGTCACAGTTTTTTCAGATTTTTCTTCAAAGTTCCACAACTTTATAATAAATAATTTTCAAAAATCCGTACGAAGCTACTGTCTAATAGTTTAAGAAAATTGTATGATTTCTTGTTTCACAACATGCAGTCAAAAATCACACGTCCGCCGGTTTCTAACAAATTTTTTAAGTCCTCTCACGCTAGTTCCCATTATGGTTATGATAATTAATATTTCTATACGGTACAAGAATTAGTTAAACAAATTAATTAAACATTTATCAGAAAAAGTTTCATAGTTATATCCAAGAAATTCTTGAAAATTTGCCACAGTGGTTTCCCTCCTTAAAATCGCAGAACGCGTAAATATTATTTTTTAACAACTTATGTTGAATTTGTTTGGTGTAATGTCATGAATACATATTCTAATTAAAATAAAAATCGTATTTTAAGGTAATCGTCAACATGAAAGGTACGAATAAATATACGTGCGATCACTGCCCGAAAATCTAGTGTTAAAAATATCGACGCGTTACCGGTAGAAAAATATTTCAACGCGATCGTTTCGACTAATTTTCGGCCGCGCGCCGTTTCGCGAGGTTCCTGGTTCGCGTCGGTTCTGCGATGCGCGGTAGCGGAGCGCGTTGCGAAAATGTAATAAAAATATAAGCCAGGGTTCTTCGTCCTTCCAACGAGAATACCCCCTTGGGCGAGTAAAAAGTATACGAAACATCTAATTACGGTTCTCCGTCGGCCCGTGGGCAACGGCGTTAAAGGACAAACCAGGGAGGCCCGGCGCGGCGCTCCTCCGGAACGATTTTACCGGTTCCCCGAGACAGATCGCGCACACCTATCGCTACCAAGTGTGCATCGCGAAACGTGGTGGGGCCGCGAGAGCGAGCGGAGAGTTGGTAGGCTTGCCCGACTGACTACGTTCTCTCACCCGCGGTCTGTCAGAGTCCACAGTCCTAACTCGGCCTCAGGCTAAGATAGATCGTATCTTTCGTCGGGTTCGATCTTGCCCGCGAATTCGTCTCGCGCGCGCGTTAGGTCTCGCCGGCCCTGATCGACCTCCGCTTCTCAGCTGCGACCGATCGAACGGACCATCGAGTGTCGACGGAACCGTCTCCTTTTAACGCGCGTCGCGTCGATAACGTTACGCCGAGACAGTTTCTTCTCGGCTCGAGTCTTGGTTTCAAGTGTCGGTGAACTTCCAGGACCCCGAGGATACTTTCCTGTTCCCAGGATACAATACCAAGAGCCAGGAACGCAGGAGGTAAGGGATACCCGGTGCTTCCAGGCAACCTTTATAGATTTCGTCTACGATGGGCATCATTTATCCAGCAACAAATGGACATTTTTTATTTGTTCGTAAACTAGCTCCTGTTTTTAAAAAAAAGTACTTTGACGGATCTGGTTTACGTTGATCGAAGATGATCGATAGGGGGATGATTAAACGACGATAGGGAAGGAAAATTGTTTGGTTTCATTGTGCTAGTAAGAATCACTCTTGTTTTGGCTTGTCCAGTAAATAGAGATTGATTTACGAATGAATCGAAGATATTTATTTGTTGTTGATTCGTTCGATTCGGGCGCGAGAATTCAAGCGCAGAGCGGAAGACGTTTTCGACTGGCGGTCGATCGCAGACCGCGGATAGAAATGCCATTCCTCTGTTAATTCGTCGCAGAGGTTTCGCATTGTGTCATTGGACACTGCCTGTAACGTCTTCAGCTTCGTATCAATTGTCATTTTTAACCGGACAGCACCGACGTATCACTCTTGTGCCAGGTTATTTTTATGACTTTTAATCCTGTATACACCTGCGTGCCTTTAAAGTCGGACAAATACCTACTATCTAAATTTTTTAAAGCCTAGTTTAATCCTGTTATCGGTATGAATCGTGGTTTTAAAAACTGAAATTAAAAATTTATTTTATTACCTGTGCATAACACGAGGATCGAGATAAAAGATTGACAATTTTTAAATCGTGTACCATCGGAGAAATATTTGTTAAATTTGTCAAATACGTTTCTGCCATTTGAATAGATTTCCTGTGGAAGATCTACGGTTCAAAGGTCATATCCTCGAATCGACGCGTAATTTTAATACTGATCGAAATCTAGATCCTTTCCAAACGAATACGTAACGCGGTCCTTTATTTTATACTCGGTCGTCCTTTCCTCGCGATGGAGATTAACACGCATTTCTACCTGTGTCCCGTGCAGACGGGTCTCGATGCATATCACGCGCGACTCATGACTTTGGTAAAACTGTCCTTCCGGTATTAAGAGTCGAGCCGTGTTTCTCTAAAATTAGAACAAAATGTTAGAAATTGACTAACGTAACCTCGAGACAGTCAGGGTCGGGGCAACAAGATGCAGGTCGAGTTTGTTTTGATCCGTGATAAACGCTGATAAACTTTATAACAAGCTCTCCTTTCTTAGTGAAAGACGAATAAACTGGAAAATATCAATGGAGCTATGGCAATTCAAGGAGAATATGGTTGTTCTTGATCGATGCATAAATACTGTCAGTAATTGTAAATACAAAATACAATTATCGATATTCGATCACCCCAGAACACAAAATGACAAGTTATATTTAGTATTTTAGATGTGGGTAATTTCAATTACAAAATCATAGAGTCAATACAAAATTACTTTTATTAATTCCTCTATCTACCATATTATATGATTATAGACCTTTCCTTCAATCTTATCTAGATGTTCGTTTGATAAACACAGAATTAACGCAGTAAATTACACGAAGAGTTTAGATTTTATAATAAGAAAACAAATCAGGGAGCTCGTTACGTGGTTCAGTAATTTTATGTTCATTACTTACGCTTGCTGAATAAACTGTTTCAGGCGTTAATTTACCAACTGTTCCTATTCTCCTTGTCACATCATTATTAGTAGTAAATCGATACTATTTAACTTTGAAAAGAAAATATTTCACCTCAAAACTGGAAAGAAGCTCTTCAGTTTATTGTACAGTCTCTGCTATCGACTTTTGCTTTCACATAAAAAATTGCACAACCCATATGTTATTCGTATCGTTTGAGCAGGCGACGATCTAATTATTTCGAGTCGCGTGTCTCTGTTGCTATCAACTATAAATAATTTCGAAAATCGCGGAAACTTGCTGCATTATTGGTTTTCAATATTTCTCGTTAGGTGCAACAGTAGCGAAGAAAATTGTTACGACGCTGTCAGGTTGACACACCTTCGTTACTCCTACAACAGCTTCATTCATTGCTTGCTCCCCACTCTGAACACTGGTCGACTATTCCTACCGGAATTTCAATGTTGAGTAACAATCGTAACTTATCTTCATCGATGCCTGTTCCATTCAGATTTTTACCGTCATCCTCTTCGTAGAGGATACCGACGAAGTTGCAACAGCAACGCGTCCTGGATTTATTTCATCGTTCGAGCGGAACTAATTTTCATCGTGGTAATTATTTCTGTCACGGCATAGGGATATTTGTGACGGATTGACACGTGTAAGCGTGATCGGAGTGCCACGTATCTCACGATTAGTCACGCGCACTAAGATACTTCCCGTCTACGGCTTGGGAAACAAGTACGTTTGTAATCATTATCGCGGCATAGTTAATATCAAGGAAAACGTTTCTTTCAGTAACTTGCACGAGTAACTTCTGTATTCGTTTGTTTTGTTACGTTTGATCGCATGTTGTACGAGGTGTTTTGCACAACGGAGTCATTTAAACGTACGAAGTTTGAAGATACAGCTTGTCTTCGTTGACACTCCGTGAAGAATATTTTTTCGTTTAATTTCATTTTATCGAGACAACGAAACAAACAAATTTCATAATATAAAAGAAATATCTAATCTAGAGCATTAACTCAGAAATAATACACGTATACCTAACGCAATAAGTATGTTTTGGACCGAGAGACATTGTGCATCAGTTCATTATATTATTTTCAATGGAAATGAGTTTAGAATGATTCTTCCTAAAAATTACCAGTTTTATTAATATTATACAAATATTATCAAACTATTTTTAATCTATACTATCTCTAACAATCCTGAGGTCGAGCGTTATCCTGGCAGAAGAGAACCTCTTTCCCTTGGACTTCGACTTGCGCCCGTTTCCTGTTAGGCCATTTATTTACTTGTTCTAATAGCTGACAGCAAATATCAGCATCGAAGATTTGCTCGGGTCGGAGAAGCTTATAATAAATTATCCTCGCGTGTTTCATCCTACATAAATCATTATTTCTTTGAAACGCAAACATTTTCTGGGTTCTAGTACTTTGTTACCACTATCGTTTTTCTAGAAAGTCATAAAGTAATTACAAAGTACTTTTCGTCGGGCTTTTAATTTTTTCTCCAAAAATTCAATGACATCGATATTCCACATGTAAATTAACGACATGAATTACTTTTTGGTTTACAAGAACTGTATCGCTATACTAGGTATGTTGGTTTAATTAAATTCGCCCCGACATACAAACTGATACTGTCACTGTCCTAACGCTGTCTGGTTATTATTATAAATCATTCGGGACTCCGTTTAACTCGATGCCTTCGCTCGGTAGCAAGTCACATCGGTTCTAAATGGCTCTATTGAGAGCGCGAATGTACCACCTCAAGGACAAAGATTTTAAAACTCTTAATTTTCTTAAGTGAGAATGCGATGACATTGGATTTGCTCTGAAGAGGTTTAAGCTTACACGACGCCTTTAACGTTTTGTTGCGTAATATCTATCCGCGTCGCGTGGAAGGTAGGTACCTAAGGTCATGCAGGTACTCGCGTATACCTAATTCTGAGTATGCGCATAAATTAAACCGTTCAGTTCCTTCCTCAAAATATATGTTAACGTGCACGAGAATCTTTTTACCATTCTACCAAGTGTCATGATACAAGAAAAAATTAGGAAAAATTAGAAATTGAATCATTTCGAGTGTGCTTGAATTGTTTTATACGTTTAACTGTTACAGTATCCGATGTAAATTAATTTTACTAAACAAGCCACAACGTAGTCCTCCGATCGAGAGAGTTACGCGTTCAATTAAGATAATTAACTGTTTTCCCCGAGGAAACTTCTCGATCGTTTGAAAGGATAGATTTCCAATCGCTTAATCGAGAGGATACGGATCGAGTGCAATTGCCGGCATTTAAACAATAATCGATAGAAATCCGTGCAATCAATTTGCGAATTGATTCATAATTGATATACGAGAAGAAGCTTATAAGTTTCGTTCGGTTTTGTTTAAAACGTCAGGTCTATTGTATATTTATTTTCAAGCGAACCGGTATCCCGAGGTAATAATAAACTCGTTAGTAAAATATTTTTCCGTACTCGTAGCGGTTGGAGGATTAGGCCTGAAAGCTGCGGCTTGTTAAAATTCACAGCGTGAATTTCATACCCGTTACCTCCACGATAAAACATCACGTTTACAATCAACGTTTTTCTGGTCGTCCTTTTATGATCCCGATAAATCAATCTAATGCAGTGGCTTCTCGGTCGTTAAACAAATTGTGCATCGTATTACGTTAATGCAGATTTGTGTCTTTTCCCTGTATCGTTTGAAAATCTGTAGTCTAATTAATTTCTTGTTACACGGGTGCAAGAAATAGATCCATAATCTCGGGATCACTTTGATCGTTCGTTCTCTTATTAAAGACTCGACGATAGAGAAGTCAGACGTTGCTTTTCGATATTCAAAAAGGAAAGAAGATTTTGTGATCCGGTCCTACACTACTCTCTTTCGGAGAATTTTATTTTTTATTTCGTTTTCCTAGATTGTTTTCATGGATCACTTGGGTTTTCTTGTTGGAGAATTTCCAGTTGACGATGCAACACTCGACGCGTCTATACCGTCGTGATAACGAGTTCCCAGGTGTTTACGACCACGCGACGTCATCGTACCCACCTTTACCATTTCAGTTGCCTCGATCCAACGAATTGCATTAACAGAACCGTGTGTTTCGTTCCCGCGTTTCTCTCTTGCTCCCTTAGTTATTTCTGCCGCGACCTTTTAACACCACGCCGGTATCGTTTGAGTCACACATTTTGCCCAACACAACAGTCATGATGGTCGAAAACTGTCCTTGTGGCGATCCCACGAATCGAACAAATTTTATTTACAATAATAAATAATATCAAATCTTGATTGTTGCGTACATTTTTAGATCTGTTTATATTTGATGCTACGAGTCACTGAAATGAAAAATAAAATTCAAGAAAATTGGTTCAAAACACTTAAAATAAAGTAATCGTATACGAGTGAAACGGAAGAAA